TTGTTAAGAAGAACCAAACATTCTATCTATAATTCAAAATAGTTCCTTTTTCCTTCCCCCTGCTGGAAGTACAAGTGGCTTTTCTTTGATATTCACTGTGAAAGCTGGTAAAGCTTGTAAAACTCTCAGAAAGTGCTGAGAGCTCTCCTGTGACTGGGCACCCTGGACTCCGGAGTTTATAACTCTCTGACTTATCAATATTGAGCCTCCAGCAATTCATCAATTATAGTTTAGGCATTTCTACCTTGATACTGATTTCCACAGAGGTTTCTGCTCATGAATTTCTACTCTGGTAAGTTGTGATTTCCCTATATCTGTCTGCTTCTCCAATTTGGGGGCAACAGTTATACATATATGCATAAGTACCATATGATGTCTTGATTTATATTTCAGTCTTTCTTTTTCTTTGTCCTTTGCCTGGACCCCTCTTGCTTCCTCTACATGCATTAGTGTCACTCTACCAACAACCCAGGTAACGTGAATAATTTAATATGCATCCTTCCATGATTTTTTTTCTTTCACAGACCTATATATCTGTTTATACATATATATTCAAAGTTATTTGACATGGTTTATTAGGAAGATCATATTATGTATGTTTTTCAGCATGTTACCTTCTTCCCCAACCAAATCTATTGAAAGTTAGTGTAATTCAGCTGAGATTAACTTATTCACTTAATGTCTGCATAATAGACAATAGGAGGATATACCTTTAGTATATACTAATATACAATATTAGTATATTACAATATTATACAATATTGTATTATACAATATTATACAATATACAATATTATACAATATTAGTATATTATAATATTAGTATGTAATATATAATATTAGTATATAGTATATACTAATATACCTTTAGTATATTTAGTATATTTAGAAACCCTACTGTATTCTCAATATAAGTTCTCTAGACATTTCCATTAACATTGTCAAAAAGCTGTTGGTGTTATTATCCAGGATTTAAGAAAATGATCTGCTCAACATGCATCATTCCTGGAATCAGGAAACTTGGGTTTAGTCTTCACATTCACATGTTACACTTTCACAATTGTCAGTAAGCAAATTCTATAATTTCAAAACCTTATATATCTCAATAGGGAAAAGAAGGTAAGAAAAAAATGTGTAAAAATCCAAAATTAGCTGCTTCACAAATTGGCCAGATAATGAAACATAGTTTCCTTATGCAAAAGAAAAAAAAAAACCTTAATAAGGTAGAAAACAGCACTTTACTTATACTGCTACCACCCATCATCTAAGTAAGAGATCGTGGCAGGAAGAATTTTAAGAGGGCTCCAATATTATACTTATAGTTTATATACCCTGTAGAATTCTTTCCCCTTGAGTGGAGTGAAACTGTGAATATGATGAATTTCACTGCTATGATTGTGTTATATGATGCAGGTGAAGGCTCCACACCAGCTGATTTTGAGTTAATTAAAAGGGAAGATATCCTATGTAAGCCTCACTTAATAGGGTATCAGTCTAAAAAGGAGTCAGAGATTGGAAGAGAGAAAAATAATTTATTCTGCCAATTTTAGAGGAGAAAACAACCCGTATTGTGAAAGGGCACAGTGTTTGGTCCTGAGGATGGTCTCAGAACTGGGAGCAACCCTGGCTAGGAGCCAGCAAGGAAATGAGGACCTCAGCTCTACAGCTGCAAGGAACCACAACCAATGAGGAGCTTGAGGAGGACCCCAAGTCACAGATGAGATCACAGCCTGAACTGACATTGTGGTTTCCTCCTTGTGAGAAAGAATCCAGTGCCATGCCTGAATACTGAACCTACAGATGATAAATGAGCATTTTTTAAAACACCAAGTTTGTGGTAATTGATTATGCAACAACAGAAGACAAACACAGTGATCTTGAACAAGATATAAAGTCCAGTCTTTCCACTATAAAATGAGATAGTAAGCCCAAATTACTGGTTTTCTAGTTATAAAACACTTTATTTTTATGATTCTATCATAGATAAAAATCAAAGTTCTGTTTCTGTGATACTATCAGTTAACGAATTGATACCACTTATTTAAGCATGTAGCACTAGGGAAGGACAACCTTCCTTTGGAACACGGTTTATTCACAACCAGCAATTTGAGGGTGTTATTAGAATGAATTGACAGATTATTTAAGATCTGGCACATATAGTTTGTATTATGTATGTTAAATTTTAAATTCCAGGCAGATATACAAAGAAAGGTTTGTGTTATGGGGTTGAATGGAATGGTTAGCTATTGAGCAAGGGTGTGAGGGAAGATAGTTTTTGAAAGTATAAATTAATGCAATAATCTATTTCTTCACATTGACCATGAGCAGCAATGGTTTTAAGGTAAATTGTTGGAAACTGACCTCTAATCAAATCAATGTGAAGCTGAGTTTGAATTTGTGGTAGTTGCATATACATCCTGTGTGAGGACTCCAAACAATAGAACTTGTTGCATAGGACCAGCACCTTTGGGGGTGCTTTTGCTGTATTTCACCCATTGGAGGATGTGGTTTGTAAAATGATGAAATTTTTAGCATGGCTTCTGCTCATCCCTTCAAAAGTAGATTAAGAATTTTAAGAGAACCCTATTAAAATAACAACTTGAAATGGTCTTGGACCACACACTTCTTAAAAAAAAAAAAAGTGAATACACAGAATTCCACCCCAGAAAAAATATCTGTATTCATTTCCTATGGCTGACATAAAAAAATCCCAGAAATGGAATGACTTGAACAACAGAAATTCACTATCTCACAGTTCAGGAGGTTAGAAGTAGGAAATGAAGGTGAAGGCCATGCTACCCTCAGAGGCCATGGGGAGAACCTTCTTTGACTCTTCCAGCTTCTGGTGGCTGGAGCTTTTCTTAATGTTCCACTTCATTCCAGTCTCTATCTTGTCTTCACATCACCTTCTCCAAGGTATGTATTTCTCAGATTTCCTTCTATCTTTCTTCTATAATTGTATTTGCCATTAGATTTACGGTCTTCCTGTATGACCCAAGATGATCCCATCTCAAGATCTGTAACTTAATTACATATGCATATTTTTTTTTCCAAATAAAGTCCCATTCAAGGATTGCAGAGAATTGTACTTATCTTTTCAGGGCCTCCATTCAACTTGTCTCCTTTTATTATTGTCTGTCATGAGTTGAATCATTTTCCCCTTCTCCCCTGTGTTTTCGTATTTTGAAGTCCTAACCACTACTAGTACAGAATGTGATCTTATTTGTTGCAAATGTAACTAGTTAAATTAAGATAAGGTCATTTGACTGAGTCAATATAACTGGTATTCTTGTGAAAAGAAGAAATTTGGACACAGACGTAAAAACAGGAAAAAAGCCATGTGAAGAGAAGGCACAGACCAGGGTTCTGCTTCTACAAACCAGGGAGCACTAAAGATGGCCAGGAAATCAACAGAAATAAGTAAGAAGCATGAAACACATTCTCTCTCACAGTCCTCATAAGGAACCAACTCTGAACACCTTGATCTTAGACTTTCAGCCCTCCAGACCTGTGAGATAATAAATTTCTTTTGTGTAAGCCACCCATTTTGTGTGGCTTACACTGAGACATATACATTTACAAATGTCATTTTAAATGGTGATACTCAACTTATAATAATGTTGCATTTTACCTATGAATAATTCATGGAAAGTAGGCTTTTATTTTCTACATTATATATAGCAATAACAAATATGTAACTCTGTCCATATGTCATTTCTCATTTTGTACATTTCCTTTGGATACTTCTAAGAAAGGGGAATCCTTCACCAAAAGGTCTAGAACAACAAAAAGAAAAATGTGTTGCTAAATTGCTTTCCAAAGAGTTCCAACAATTACCTTACATGTGCTATGTGATGAGTGATTTCTATGTTTTCTCACCAGCATTTGACAGTATCATTTCAAGGACTGTCATATGTTTTGAGGACACCTTCAGATTTACTCTTGGGGGACAGAGAAGCAATGATGAGTAGATTTATTTGGTCCTAACTTTTTCTCTCTCTTGCTTTCAGGCAGTCACCAGAGGGAAAGAGTCACAGTGTCTTTAGGTTACATTATTTAACAGTAGCAGAGAATTCAAGATCCTTGTGATTTTTTTTTTAATGCATGAAGTTGCTCGTTTCAATAATGCTAACCTTCATGAATCAAAATTTACTTAATTGAAAGCCAAGTGTTATAATGAGAATCAGAACAACTTATATGGCAATATTCTTTTGGTTTCTCTTAACACAGCATATTTATTTAGAGATTTACCTTACATATTGTCTAGGGAATTAATATGGGCGTTGGCCATTTTTCAGCACTTCCTGGTTGAGGGCAAGGGCTCCACTCTGGTGCTAGTCCTTCCCTCTACAAGTCTTTCTTGACAGCTCCAGCTTTTCTGCTTAGAATTTCACAATGACCAATTTTTTAAAAAAGCTATCAGGCTAATAATAATTTTTTAAAAAGCATTTTAAATCCGGAGAAGTGCTCCTGGGCGCAGCTGGCCGGCTGCTGTTCCTGCAGCTTGCATTGTGATCCTTCCTAGTCTCCTACCCACATACCTATCCCACCCGCACCACAAGCAAGCAGAGCCTGATATCTGCTCTTCAAACCCAGAGTATGAGTAAACCGTGCCTCCCGTCCTCCCCATCACCTCCCTACACTCCCGCCCCTGGATTTTTAAAAAGCTTGTCGGTCATTGCAGGGCGCCTCCGCAGCGTCTGGAGTAGGTACAAGAGCATCCTTCCACCGGGTGTGCGAAGAAGACAGGCTGGGGAAACTGGAATCTGTGGCTGCCTTCTCTGCTAAGGGGGTGGGGAATGGTTTGTCCTCCAAGCGTTCAGACCAGAACCACCCTCTCTACTCTGCCTCCCTCCCGCCCCCCGCCCCAATCTTTCTCTTTCAAGGCAAGAGAACTCCCCTTTTCCAGACCAGGAAGGGGCGCCTTTCCAGCTAACTTTCCCCTCACCCACCGAATAAAAAAAAAAATGAGTGGTGGGGGGAAACCCATACAAAAACCCTGGAGTAATAGCGAGTGGATCGGCTTGGTGCTCAATGAATGGAGGCTGCGGGGCGGGCCTGCGTGCACAGCCGCCCTGCCCACGATGCTGTCGCCCGGAGGCCTGTAGGGCCCTCACGGCCCCTAGCCCTCCTCCCGCCCCGGGCAGAGGTTGCCGACGGCTCTGCGCCCAACGACGACAGGGAAGGTCGAGGGAGGGTGGTTTCCTCCCGCCCCACACCCAGTCTCCGAGCCGGATATATACAGTGTCACGTTTGGGAGCAGAAAGACCAGAGCAGTTTCCTTGTGGCTGGAGTACTTCCCGTAGCCTCGGGGAAGGACCGGGATTTAGCGGACCACTAGTTGAAACCCACCCCCGTGCTGGAGGAGCAGGTATTCCAGGGTCCCCTGCCCTTCCGCTCGCTGAGCCCACGCGCTCCGAAGGCAAAGACCGGGCTGGGGGTGGCCCTCCCCCGGGAGGGAGGGATCGGCTGGGTTAGCAGGGAGGGGCGGATCCCTGAGGGACCTCGAGGAGGGTGGGCATGAAGCCGGGTGGGAGGAGAGAGGCATTTGCAGTGGTTCTGACCCCTAAAGCGGCCCCCAGCCGCACCCCAGTCGCCACTCGCCTGTAGGCACGTTTGGCTTTGGCAGAGCGCGCCAAGGTAGGGTGCGCAGGGGGTGAAACCGCGGTGAGCCTGGGAGGGCCAGAAAAGGTTAATGTGGAGGACCTCGCTCTGGTGGCTAGGGACCAGGGAGAGAGGCGTCGGAATGGGTCCCACGTAGGCCTCCTTGGCCCCTGGCGCTATTCCTGGAGAGAGCGCGCAAATTCTGGGGCCACGTGTCGAGCGGCGCCTGCAGCGGGTCCCCTCCAGCCCCGGGACAGCCTGGGCGTGCTGTCCCGGCCCGAAGCGCGTCCTCGATCGCCCCTGGCCCCACCCCTCGCTGTGCACGTTCGGACCCTCCCCCTCAGGACTAGCCAGGGTAGCCCATCCGAGGCTGAAAAGCACCCGGGCAGTAAAGTGAGGTTGGAAGTTTTTGACCTCTTCCTGTGTTTGGGGCAGCGCGGGGAGAGCAAGAGAACAGGTTCCTGAAGACTCCAACTGAAGTAGATGGCTTTCTAGAAAGCTGCTCGCTCGCAGCGAGTAAGAGTACCCGCGGGACAATTGGGGTCAATTAGATAAAATTCCTGTCCAGCCTTATTCTAGAAATTATAGGAATGTGCCTTTCCTGACAATATCTTTACTTTGTCACTTCTCCTGGCAAGTAGGATTATGAACATTTTTTTTCCTGCCATGTATGAGTTACCTAGTGTGAGCATCCAAGGTTATGGCTGAATCTGCAAGACTTTGGCAACTAGTTCTTTCATGTGCATGAAAGAGGACATAATGGGAATAGCAAAGTGACTGAAAACTCAAGTGGATGGTGTTTTTCTGCTGGTTAGATGCTGTGTCCAGAGAAGTTTGACACTGTGCAAATGGAAATTTGAGAATTACCCTGTGGTTTCCATTACCCTTCTCTATATTTCCATTTACATGAATTGGAGATTTGACTCAGGTGCATATTTAGTACAAAAGCCATAAAGTAGGACGAAGGAACTAAATAAAAACGTAAGCCAGGCTGTCAAAGTGTAAGAGTGACATCTTAACAAACTTCTAGGGATATTTGTATGTGGAGTTTCTAGAGATGGCCAAGAAGTTTTAACTGGCAAAGAGTCAAGTGTCCTGACATTTTACTTGTAGTGTTTCTAATAATTCAGGTCTTTCCCATTGCTTTTTTAAAATTTACCTTTATTTATTTATTTATTTTCATGTGGTGCTGAGGATCGAATCCAGTACCTCACATATGCTAGGCAAAGGCTCTACAACTGAGCCACAACTCCAGCCCCAGTCTTTCCCCATTTTTTGAGGACATCTTCTGCACTTGTTTTGTCAACAGATTCCTACCTTACTCTGATTTCTAATATTTGGTTCTAATAAATCACCATGATTTGGTAAGTCTTATCATCACTGGAAAAAATTAATGTGATAATCTACTTTCCCTTAAAGGAAGCTAAACATAACCCAGCCTCAGAAGAAGATGAAGAAACTTTCTTTAAGGGCTGAAAAATAAATAGTTCATCTGTGGGTATCACTGAGATATATCAAGAATATGGTCATCTGAACCATTCCATCTCTCCATTGCCTTTCTGAAGATGCCTTCTTGAGTGTAACATCTAGTCAGCCTTAAAATTGCTTGTTTTTTGTATTAACTCTCAAGTGTTCACAAAAATTCACTTACTCACAAATACATTCTCATGGAGGATCATACCTAGAACCGCCACACGCTTGTACCTGCCAATACATTCTGACGTTGTAGTCTCTGTAGGATCATACATCATTCTTGAAGAAATGGTCTTAATGCCTACTTTCATTAACAGACCTCTTTTGAGTATGGGTTAAAATGGAATATAAAAAACAAACATGTGCACATTAACACAGAATTCTGCTTACACTTTGAGGAGTTCACAACCTTGTAACGTTCAAACGCCCCCATTCTAGACATCCAGGGACTCCAGGCAAGATCAGCTTTGTGGAAGGACATATTTAATCAATAAAGGGCAGCTGTTCCTTATCAAATTGTCTAGTTTCGTGGAACCCTACACTTAAGAGGGCAATCTGTTTAATATTTTGCTGCCACTGTCTGCTACCTTATTTTTCAAACAAGGGGCTCTAAATTTTCACTTTGCACTGGGTCCTGCATATTATGCCATGAACCCAGGCTGACAATCTCATTCCAGAACTTACCAAATAACAACATCGTCTTACAGAAGTTCCATTTTTAAGGTGACTTCACCACCACAACCTGGAATTTAACCTCTGCTTGCTTAGATATGCTCAGGCATGTCATTAAGCTTGTCTTTATCTCAGTTTCCCCACTGACAAAATAAAGACAACAGATGATACTCTATTCTATTTATCTTAGAGGTGGTTGTGTTATCTTAGGTAAAAAGAAAATAATTATAAAAATGTTTACTGGTGTCAAATAATTTCATGCTAACAAAGATGGCATTATTACAGGCTTACCCTTTCTACTCCATTTTTTCAGAAGTAGCTTTAGGAAGATAGGTTAAGTACCTTATAAAGGTTTTGGAGTACAGTGTACCAGAAATCATTCTTAATTTATATTACAAGATACACAGGCTCATGTTCTGGGACTATCACTAATTCTTTTCATAACCTTTAATAAGTCACAAATTTTCTGTGTCAGAGCTATCAATTATAAGATGGTAATAATATTAGCTATTCAGTATTCCACACAGGATTGTTTTAAAGACTAATAGAAATTACACACACACACACACACACATACATGCATTTCAAAGCATTTATAACCCTATATTTTGGTAAAAATAAAATAAAACAAAGTATCTAAGTAGTATTCAGTATTTTAAATATTCCTAATATTATTATTTGTACAAGATTGGAACAGGCAACTGAAGGTAAACAATAACTTCTTGGATCCCAAAGACAATTCCTGAATTAAATTAATGTTTGCATCTAAATCATCCACAAATTAAACAATGAGAAAGTGAGTCAATAATTGAAATTTTCTTTAGGAGGTAGTTCTCCATGCTTCATTTAATTCTAAAAGTCCAACACATTCAAAATCTTGATCAAGACACCATTGTAAATATTCTAGGACATATTTAATCAATAAAGGGCACCTGTTCCTTACCAAATTATCCTTATCTCTGTATCTCTGGTGCCTGCTAAGGAGGAACCAAGAAAACTCAGGTCAGTCCACTGTGTCCACTCTTCTCCGTTGAGTCCTTCTCTGTGATGTCAGAAATTTTCTGTATCCCACCTTTCCTTTCCAGCATGATGGCAGTGCAGTCAGAACTCTTGAAGAAAACACAGTAGAAGGAAATGGATCAAACTCCCATCACAAGATCTCATAATAGAGGCAACTAAGAGTGGTGGATGACAATGACTTCTTTCATGCACCCACTCTAGGCAGGGGCATGCATTGTACATTAGGACAGTACTTACCAGGTCCTGCATACAATAAACCTTTGACATCATTAGCAAGACAAAATAGGCAAATATAAGGTATTAATTAACAATAGCAAATAAAGTATTGCAGGGAAAGAGAACATTAGGCACCAAATGTGTGGTGCAGAAAATAAGAGCAATGGATTTCCCAGAAGAGAATGAAATAAACCGAAATTCTGAGAAAGGCCTAAATGGAAAGGTATAAGAGATGACTGTTAAAGTTCTGGTCCTCACAGAGATGAACAAATTATGAAACTTGTGGTTGATAAGTTTGTAAAAAAGAGGAAGTCAGATGGAGCTAGAGTTGCAGGTAAGGAGAAGTCAGGACCTAGAACTAATAGAAATCCCTCCCAGCTGCCTTCATGCATGTCATACATTTTTATTAAAGCCATTCTGTGACCAGACACCATGGCAGTTTCCCACATTTAGTGTGGAAAACAAAGCAGATGTTAAGTTCCCTTTTGGAATTTACAGACATTTACAAAATAAATGTATAGTAACAAATTGTGGGAAGTAGTATGGAGAAGAATGGAGTGCTAGGAGAGAAAACTGGTATTGATCAGCACTCTGGGAAGGATTCTTTGACAAAGAAATATTAGAAAGGAGCATAGGAGTTGACTCAAGAGACACAGAGAGAGAGAAAGAGATGCATCTGGGCAGAGGAAACTGCAGATGGGGAGGCCCAAGGGAGAAAAAAAGGCTGAAAGTGTTCAGGGTACAAAGACAGCACATGTGGCTGGAGTGTGTGAGTTGGTATCTGAGCTGCTGCATGAGAGTGTGGGGAGGTGGGGAGGATGTGGATCCCACTCAACTCCACAGGTCTTCATCAAGTTTTTGACTTTCATCTTAGAGTTAAGCCTTGAAGACTTTTAAGCCAGAGACTGTCCTAAATGATATTTTAAGGAAGTCTATTTGGAGTCAGTAAGGAGAATGGACTGGAGGGCAAAAGACTCAGACGTAGGATGAACAATTAGGCACAGGTACAGGCAAGCCTGCTGACAAGGAAAGGCCCTAAAGTGCAGAGACTTGAGATATAACTTCAAAGTAGGATTGATGCAGTGGGTGACAGGTCGAATATAGGGGCTGGGCAAGTCCGGAAGAAGTATGAATGAGTTCCTTCAGTATATACTGCTTAACTTTTGAATCCGAAACAATAGGCTCACGTGCATGTAATTTAGACTTGCCATAAGAAGAACTGAAAAACAAAGCAGAAAGTGACCCCTCTAGAAAGTGTACTGGCTATTGGGCTAGGAGTGAGAAAACATTTGCTTTTCATGCTGTCCTCTGTAAGGTTTGAGTCATTTTAAAACCATGATTGCATTATTTAATTTTTTAAAAATATTGTCACCTCTAGAGATAGAG